CCCGAGAGGCGGGGCCCGAGAGGCCGGCCGGGCCGAGGAAACAGGCCCTCCGACCCTCTTTCTTTTCTTTTCTTTCTTTTTTTTTTTTTTTACTGTACCACCCCAGCTGTTTAACTGAGACAGAATGTTCTAGAATAGGACCCAGACCTCTTGGTCTGGAAAGACACCGTGTGCGTTTGCTGCGTCTTGAATAAAGTTCCTGCCTGAGTGAGTTCGGGGCTCTGCTGAGCGTCCTCGAGCTGTGAGTTCGGGGCTCTGCTGAGCGTCCTCGAGCTGTGAGTTCGGGGCTCTGCTGAGCGTCCTTTGCACATGCTTTCTGTCTACAGCCTGAAGTTGCTCAGACCTCACCAACATGAGCCTTTCTCACAAGGACAGCATCCACCTGTCTCATGTTATGATGACAGAATGCTTGGAAGTTGGGTAATGAGGGGATTATCTTGGCATATGGTTCTGGAGGTGCGAGGTCAGGGGACCGCTCTGGTGGGGGCTGAGTCTTGGCAGAGGATCCTCTGAGCAGGTGGGAAGAGATGTGTGTGTGTGTGTGTGTGTGAGAGAGAGAGAGAGAGAGAGAGAGAGAGAGAGGGCTGGTGTCTCTTCTGCACTTTGTCTATTTAATCAGGACCTGCCCCTGAGCTTTTGTGCTCAGGGCTGGTGCTCTACCACTTGAGCCACAGCTCCACTTGTGGCTTCTTGTTTCTTTTTGGTAGTTTATTGGAGATGAGTCTTTTTTCCTTTTGCCAGGCTAGCCTGGAGCAAGATCCTATTTATGATCTGCCATGGAACTAGGACCAGAGACACAACCAGGCCAGGCTTACTGTTTAAGACGGGGTCTCCAGCTGTGTGCCTGGGCTGTCCTGGAGCTGTGATGTTCCGGTCTTCATCTCAGGGTGGCTGGGATTGAAGGCGGTCGCTCGGGAGCGCTCGAGGCTGGGCGCGCTCAGACCCGCCATGTCTGAGGCCCGGCTCTCCTCACCTGCCGTCGGCGGTGACCAGGCTGCCGCCGTTTCTGGCTCCCGGTGTGTGGTGGGTTGGCGTCCCCGCCGTCGGAGGCCGGGGAGCCGGGTCTGGAGCTGGGCTCTGCCGTCGGAGGCTCCTCGGGGAGCCGGGTCTGGAGCCGGGCTCTGCCGTCGGAGGACGGGGAGCCGGGTCTGGAGCCGGGCTCTGTCTCGTGCGTCCGCCTCCCAGCGAGGCACGGGGCGTCCTGCGCATGAGAGGCGACGCGTGGCCTGGTGGGGGGTGGGACGGGGACGGGAGGGGTCCCCCCGGGTGTGGGGCGGGGGTCACGGCAGGGACGGGAGGGGTCCCCCGGGGTGTGGGGCGGGGGTCACGGCAGGGACGGGAGGGGTCCCCCGGGGTGTGGGGGAGTCATGGCGGGGACAGGAGGGTCCCCGCAGCCACGTGTCACGGCCACGGCGGGTGTCGTGTCCAGCCCTGGCCACACACGCAGCTGGCCGGTGCGCCCAGCCGCCTGCCCCACTCCCGCGCCTCTGCTGTGTGGCCGGGCTCACCTCCAGGTGGCCGAGGACTGTGAGAACTGGCCTGCCCGGCCGGCCAGACCCTCGGGTCCCGTCTCCGGTTCCTTCTCCGGCCCAGCGAGCCTGACTACCTTGACTGGCCTTCCGGGCCTCGCCCGCCTGCGCGGCTGCTGCCCTGCGGGGCGGGGGGGTGTCTCGGCCTCGGATCTCGGATGGCCCAGCAAGCTTGGCCAGCTGCTGCCCTACGGGGGGAGGGGGGGTCTCGGCCTCGGGAACCAAGTGGCCCCTTTGGCCATGTTGCCTGTGGCCGCGTCCCGCCAGCCTCCGCCGGGCTCACATGGCTGCTCTTGCTCCAGCCTTCTCGTGCCGGCTTCTCCTGAGGATGTCACCCCGCCGCTCAGCAGCCCCCCCATGACGTCACGGAGGCCGGAGTGGCTCCAACTTGGACGTGTCTTTTTTTTGGAGGGACAGGGTTCAACCTAGAGCACTTTAAGCTGGGCCTTGCTGGTTGAATTGCTTTCCTGCTCATTCCCAGAGGTCTGCACTGTCCTTAGGGCTGGGCCTTTGAGCAGGATGCCCGGAGTGTTGTGTGAGGAGGGCTGGCAGGGGAGGCCCCAGGACGGAGGACCGGGGGAGGAGGCACCCCGCTGTAGCCAAAAGGAGAGGCCGCAGAGGAAACCCACCAGCACCCCAGCCTTCAAGCTCCACCCCCAGAACTGAGCAGTGCCTAGCTGCTGTTTGAACCCAATCTGGCTTAGTCCCTTACGCGGCTCTAGCAAGCTATTACACTGAATCGTTACTAGAAAAGAAAAGGCGTCCCTCTGGGTAAGGAGCCCATCGGAAGGAGCCGGGTCAAAGTTCTAATATTGCATCTTGGAATAAGTAAAAAATACTAAGACAACATGATCAACACATGGGAAGAAGAGGTGCCTCTGAAGTGGGGAACTCAGAAATGAGGTAATTATGACTTGGAATAAAGCTTTACAATGGAAAAGTCAGTTCAAGAGTACTGAACTAGAAAGTGCGTGAAAGTGAATAAATAAGAAGCGTGAGTGAAGCCAGGCTTAATTCTGTCATGCTAGCTACGGGCAGGGAGGGAAGAGAGTTTCGGGAGATTCCAGTTCTGGCACCAACCTTGTGTGTGTTGGGGGGGGTGGGCAGAATGGAGTTTGTAGGGAAATTTGTTTTAGCAGTTTCAGGGTTTGAAATGAGGGAGGAATTGTTCAACGTGCTTGCTCTACCACATGAACCAGGTCTCCAGTCATGCTTTTTGCTGAACCCAGCAATTCTTCAGCAAATAGATCTTCAGTAAAGCTCAATAACACTTATCCTGGAGTGGGAAGGGGCAAGAAATACTAGGATACTAGACGCTCAGGCAGTACAGACAAGGATTTTCCACCTACCCAGAAAGTTGACTTTGACACACAAAGAGCCCAGGTGACGGGGAGTGGCTGGGGACGAGCACAGGTCACAGGAGGACAGTGACCCGCGACTGGCTGGTGACAGGCAGGAGCTCAGCCTCACCTGCCTGAGAACGCAGTGACACGGCGGTGCAGGAGTGGGCCGGACACTTGTAATCCTAGCAAGCTTGGGAGGCTGAGGCCGGGAGGATTGTGATTAGAGGCCAGCCTGGGCAGAAGTCTACAGAACGCTTTTCTCAACCCATCACTGGGTACAGCTGGGGAGGTGGGGTGGTGGATGCCCAGCCGCTGCCCTGTGCTAGGTGGGGGGTGGGGGGGGCGGATGGTGGTTCCAGACCACGTCTGTGAGACGCTATCTCCTCAGAAAGGCTTGGGTGCAGCGGCACGAATGTCCCAGCCGCTGCGGCAGCCAGCCCACCCTCGCGGGTGCAGCAGGGGCTCGCTCCGTCACCAGCTCAGGGCAGCGTTCACGCGTGGCCCAGAAGTGAGGCCCGCCAAGGAAACACGGAGGCCCTGGGTTCAAACCCCAGTACGGCCAAACACAATTGTCCCCGCTGTATGAACCAGAAGAGCAGGGTTCGGGGTGGGACGTGCCTGAGACCCCGTCTGAGCAGCGGGAGCCAGTGTGCCGGCCCGCGCCTGGCAAGAGCACGCAGCGGGTAAACTGCAGCCTGGTGAGCGCTGCAGAACGAGGCTGCGGGCGAGAGCCCGCGCACAGCCCCGCACACAGGCATGCAAGCCACTTTCGCACGGGAAGGGGTGAACGGTGTGTTGGCGGGGGCACCGGGTGGACGCTGGGTCCCCGCCCCCCGCGGGCGGAGGTCAGCCCCGGCTCTGTGCTCCCCAGGCTCCGGCAAGAGAAGACGGACACGGTGCGCTGCATCAAGGCCTGCCGCCCCGGCGACCGGGCCTGCGCGCAGGACCCCGTGCACACCGTCTCCTACACCGCCGTCCCGCTGCCCACCTTCCGTGAGTTCACCCGCCCCGAAGGTGAGTGGCCGCCGTGCCGCCGGTGTCCTCCGCGCACGGCCCCCTGCCGGCGGTCTCCCCCCACCGGTGACAGTGACATGCAGGGCTGACGGGGAAGTCAGGGAGGGCTTCCTGGAGGAGGCGGCTCCCGTGCTGGGGCGTGCCCAGCAGCAGGAGGGGGAGGCGGCAGCTGGCAGGTTCCTGGGCCAGGGCAGGCATCTGAAGACCCAGCCTCATTTGCTCTGGCTAGAGATGAGCCAGAACATTCCAGAAGAGCCTCAGCTGGGAGTCGGGCTTCTCCGTCAAGGTTTTTGGGAGCTGCGAACAATACAACTGGTGTGATGTGTAACTGAGGTGCAGTCTTAGAGGGCGGGGGGTGGAGGCGGGAGGCCTGCGGCTCGGGGGCCCCGGGCGCCCCCGGCATGGGTGTGGAGGGCGGCGTGCCCCACGCCCAGCACTGGCCCTGGACAACACTGTGCACTCCTATGCGGGGTGCGTGGCTGCAGGACGGCTGCTGAGCCCCCGCCATCTCCTCTGTCCGGCGGAGGCCGCTGTCCCCAGCCCCCCGCGGAGCGTCGCTGACCCCTGGGTCAGGCTCTGGGATGAGGAGATGGGAAACACGCTCCAGGAGCCGAGACCTCACGCCTGTCACCCTAGCTACTCAGGAGGCTGGGATCTGAGGATCGCGGTTCAAAGCCAGCCCAGGCAGGAAAGTCCGTGAGACTCTGATCTCCAATGAACCAGCAAAAAGCTGGAAGGGCGGCGGCTCATGCGTTAAAGTGCCAATGCTGAGTGAAGAGAGATGAGGGACAGTGCCAGGGCCTTGAGTTCAAACCCCAGTGATTATGGTTCAAAGCCAGCCCAGGCAGGAATGTCCATGAGACTCTTATCTCCAAATAACCACCAGAAAACCGGAAGTGGTGCTGTGGCTCAAGTGGTAGAGCGATTGATAACCTAAACTGAAGAGCTGAGGGACAGTGCCAGGCCCAGAGTTCAAGCCCATGACCAACAGCAACAAAAAGTTCTTCCTTTTAGGGAAGACAAGGAAGGGAGCCGTGCAGGGCGGCGACAGGCTGCCCAGTGCGGGGGGGCAGCCGTGGGAGAGAGGGCAGTGCAGGGGGGGTGGGAGAGGGGGGCAGCCGTGGGAGAGAGGGCAGTGCAGGGGGGGTGGGAGAGAGGGCAGCACAGGGGGGGTTGGAGGCAGCCGTGGGAGAGAGGGCAGCGTGGTGCAGGCTCCAGCCCATGGCTGCCCTCCCCCCTACCCCCCCCCCGTCAGCCTCTAGGGACCGAGGCGCACATGGAGGCCACACGGAGGCCCGGCGGCGGGTTGGCATTGGCCTTGTGCGAAATGATGGGTTTCACCAAACCACACACAAGCCCTCAAGTCCCCAGTGGCCAGTTTGGTGGCCTCTCGGGCTGGCCGCACAGACGTGGGCGTGGTTATCCACAGAGCCGTGTGTGGCTGGAGACACCGAGGAGCGTCGCTTGTGGGCTCCAGCTACAACCAGGGAAACTGAGGCGCGGAGAGGGGCCTTCCCAGGGCGAGGGCCAGGCCGCGTGGAGCCCTGGCCTTCCATCCACGTGGGCAGGGAGTCACCTGCCGTTCCCATGCCCTGAAGAGTCCCCTCTCCCCAGGCCCCAGCTCCCTCCCGGACAAACACACCCGCTGCCCCTGCCCCGGGGCTGACATCTGACGAGCAGGTGGTGGTTTTTGTTTTGTTTTGCTTTTGTTGGCTGTGGAGCTTAAACCCAGGGCCTGGGCACTGTCCCTGAGCTTCTTCATTTGAAGCTAGTGCTCTACCAATTTGAGTCACAACACCACTTCCTGTGTTCTGGGGGTTAATTGGACATAAGAGTCTCCGGACTCTCCTGCCCGGGCTGTCTTTGAACGGCGATCCTCACATGTCAGCCTCCTGAGTAGCTAGGATTCCAGGTGGGAGCTGCTGGCGCCCAGCTTCTGAGCATCCGTTTGAAGTCAGCCTGGCCAAAAAGTTTGTGAGACTTTTACCTTCCATTAAGCACTAAAAAGTTGAAAATGGAGCTGTGATTCAGGGGGTAGAGCACCAGCCTTGAGCACAAAAGCTAAGGTCCTGAGTTCAAACCCTGGGCGTGCGTGCGTGTGCGCACACGCACCCCCCCCCACATACACACACATACACCCCCCCCACACATACACACACATACACACACCCCCACACATACACACCCACCCCCCACACACACATACACACCCCCCCACACATATACCCACACACACACACACACACACACACACACCCCTGCAACAGGACCCCACGGGTGGTCTGTGACTGCAGGGCCCATGCCTTGTGTTCAGTCTCTGGAGTGGGGTGGGCGGAACAGACCAGCGCCCTTTCCCACGCCACCCTCCTCTCCCAGAGATCGTCTTCCTGCGGGCCGTCACGCCGCTGTACTCTGCCAACCAGGCCGACATCATCTTCGACATCATGGAAGGGAACCCGAGGGATTCCTTTGACATCATTAAGCGCTACGTGGGCAACATGACTGTGGGTGAGTGACTCCCTGGCCACGCCCACAGGGGGGGCAAGTGACACTTTGGCCACGCCCACGGGGGGGGCGAGTGCCACTTTGGCCACGCCCACAGGGGGCGTGAGTGACACTTTGGCCACACCCATATGGGGGTGAGTGACACTTTGGCCACACCCACAGGGGGTGAGTGGCACTGTGGCCATGCCCACAGGGGGGCGAGTGACACTTTGGCCACGCCCACAGGGGCGTGAGTGACACTTTGGCCACACCCACCCAGGGGTAAGCCACACCCAAACGACAGCCAACGCTGACCCGCCCTCCTGCTCAGAGTCCCTTTCCCAAGGTCTGTCCCTGCGCCTGAGCCCCCCCACAAAATGGCTGGCTTCAGTTCAGCTGCACCGCACAGCTGTGCGTGCCAACGCCTCCCTGGGGGTATAGAGCTGGTGTGCTGCGTGGCGCCGTCTCCCTGGGCTGGCGGAGCACTTCGCCAACCAGGCATCTGGAGGCCACAGCTCTTCTTGCTGTGTGACCTTGAGTGAGTCTCTGTGCCTTCCCCAGGAACTCGGGGAAGAGGACCAGGCTGGTCCCTGCTCTCAGGCCTGGGGTGTGTGTGTGTGTGTGTGTGTGTGTCTTACCCGTTGCTCTTCCTCAATGTGTGTGTGTGTGTGTGTCTTACCCGTTGCTCTTCCTCAATGTGTGTGTGTGTGTGTGTGTGTCTTACCCGTTGCTCTTCCTCAATGTGTGTGTGTGTGTGTGTCTTACCCGTTGCTCTTCCTCAATGTGGATCCTCAGGGAGCGGAAGTGTCAGTGTCTGGGGAAGGAGGATGTAGGTGAAGAGGCAGGGAAGGGTGGCCAGACCCAGGAACTGGCCGAGGTGCTGGGGTGGGGGGGAGGAGACATGGGTGGGCCTGGCCAGCGTAGCTTGTCTGGTGGAGGCCCAGGGTGAGGGGCCCAGCGTGAGGGGCTGGGGAGGCCCGATGGCTGCTTGTGGGCTGGAGAAGGACCCCCTCCCCCCGCCCGTGCAGCTCTGATTACAATCGGCATCTGAAAACCCATCCGTCTGCCCCGTACACCGCTTCCCTCAATCTCTCCAGGACGGCCACATTGTACATCGGAGCCATCCCTTTGGATTTAGATTTATTCCCCAAGCAGCTGGGCATCCGGGGGCCGTCACTACCCTGTCCTGGGCCTCAGTTTCCCCACGGTGAAGCAGGGTGTCCTAGGGCACCGCGGGCCCTGGATGGGAGATGTTGACCAGAGCAAAGCCTGCTGGTGCGCGCGTGGGCGCCAGGGGGCACTGTCGGCCCTCTGAACCTCCGTCCTCCTGGCGGCCCCAGCCATGACCGTTGTTAAGCTGGCGGTGGGGAAGGAGTCGTTACTCCCCGGTTGCCCAAGGGCCGTTTACAAGCTCTTAAATGGGGTTGCATGTTGTAAACATGACTGAGTCACCTGCCCCCCCCAGCCTCCTCCGCTAGCTGGCAGCGGCGATAATTAGTTAATTACAATTAATGGTGATGAGCCCTTGCCGGGACCCCGACGGGAGGGTCGTGGTTACATTGGCAGCCAGCCCTGCAGCCGCTGCCCATCCGCGCTGCCACGTCCCCGCTGGAGACGAGGCTCTCCGTGGAGAGTCCTTTGAGGGCAGATGCGGTGGGGAGGGGTGATCGTGCTGTACCAAGTCCACGGAGCGCGGCCCTCCGCCTGACCTGCAGGGGTGGCGTGACCCCTGCCCTCTACCTGACCTGCAGGTGTGGTGTGACCCCTGCCCATTGCCTGACCTGCAGGTGTGGCGTGACCCCTGCCCTCTGCCTGACCTGCAGGTGTGGCGTGACCCCTGCCCTCCGCCTGACCTGCAGGGGTGGCGTGACCCCTGCCCTCCGCCTGACCTGCAGGGGTGGCGTGACCCCTGCCCTCCGCCTGACCTGCAGGGGTGGCGTGACCCCTGCCCTCTGCCTGACCTGCAGGTGTGGCGTGACCCCTGCCCTCCGCCTGACCTGCAGGGGTGGCGTGACCCCTGCCCTCCGCCTGACCTGCAGGGGTGGCGTGACCCCTGCCCTCCGCCTGACCTGCAGGGGTGGCGTGACCAGGCCTGGCCTAGGCTTCCCTCCCTTGGTATCTCAAAGCTTCCAATTCTTGCAGCCCTTATTTCCCTCCCTGAGCCCCAACTCTCCTGCTCGCCGGCTGGCCAGCAGGGACACCCAGGCCTGCCGTGGCTTCCACAAATCCTTCCAGGCCGCTGCCAGGCCGGCGTGTCTCTGTCCCCCACAGCTCGCCCTGTGCGGTCAGCTCTGGGCTTCCATTCACTGGGGCAGAAAATCCTGCTGTGTCAGAGGCCGGAGGTTTCTGAAGACCGGCTACTCTAAGCCCTTCCTCCATGGGAGGAGAAACGGAGCCCCAGGAGGAGAGGTCTGAGTAGAGAGGTCTTCTCCAGTGACCCAGGGGCATGCGGGCCTCAGAGCAGCCCCCAGGGATGAGGGGGTGACTGCAGGCAGTCCCAGCGGTGGGGTGTGGGCAGGGCCCTCGGCACACGTGGTCACGGGCAGCCCTGCGCTTGGATTCCTCCACACATTTGCAGGGTGGTCATGCTGGGCTGTGTGGTCTCTGGGGGGGGGGTGGATGGTCTCTGGGGTGTGTGAATGGTCTCTCTGGGGTGCGTGGATGGTCTCTGGGGTGTGTGAATGGTCTCTCTGGGGTGCGTGGATGGTCTCTGGGGTGTGTGGATGGTCTCTGGGGTGTGTGGATGGTCTCTGGGGTGTGTG